GCAAAACATAAAATAAACGACAAAAAGATCCTAAAACTACCTAAACGACTCAATATAGGGGAAAAAGAACGGTAAAATAATGACCTAAAACGGCACAAAAATGGGACAAACAACGGCCCGCATGCCGGTGATAAGTTTTAAGGCGGAGGATGCCAAGGGAGTGGTCCTGTCGCACAATGATGCCTTGGTGATAACCGCGGAGATTGCAGGTTTCGACGTGAAGAGGGTGTTCATTGATACCGGGAGTTCGGTAGATGTGATGTTCTACGACTGTTTTGTGCAGATTAACAAGGAGCTGAATATGGAGCTGAAACCGGTGACCACGGCACTTTACGGCTTTAATGGGGGAGAAGTTATGCCGATGGGAGAGGTTAGTTTGCCCGTGGCGTTGGGATCGGGAGAGTTAAGAAAGGTACGTATGGTGAGATTTGTGGTTGTAGGGGCTGAGTCGTCCTATAACATCATCATGGACGGACGAGCTTGAATGCGTTCCAGGCGGTCGTATCCACGTACCACATGACGATCAAATATCCGGTGGGTGAAAACGTAGGGGAGATCGCCGGGGATCAGCTCACTTCGAGAAGTTGCTACCAAACGACAGTCAGCAATAACAAGCAATTGGCGAAGAGGCAGGCCGAGTCGAAGAGGGAGGAGGTTAATCGACCAGGGGGATCGAGGTCGAAGGAGGACAAGCAAAAAGGGGAGAGAGGTAAGGAAAAATGGATATCCAACCTGGGGAGGAAGTCGAGGAGATTCAAATGATCGAGGGATGTGAAGGGAGAAAGTTCAGGATTTGAAGGGATCTGGGAGAGCCTATTCGGTCGAGATTGATCTAGTTGGTTAGGAAGTTCGCTGATATTTTTGCCTATACGGCAGAGGAGTTAACGAAAATAAGTGCGGAGGTGATCGAGCATCGGCTAAACATCGACCTCAGCGTGAGGCCGGTGAAGCAGAAGAGAAGGCACCATAGGACGGAGATGGATAAGATCATCGAGCAGGAGGTCGAGAAACTGTTGGGAGCACGACATATTAAGGAGATTAATTTCCCCGAATGGCTGTCAAACACGGTAATGGTGTCGAAAGCGGAAGGGAAGTGGAGGATGTGCATTGATTTCCGCGATCTGAACAAAGCATGCCCGAAGGATTTATACCCGCTTCCTAGGATCGACCAGCTGGTCGACTCCACAGCCGGGTGTGAGCTACTCAGTTTGATGGATGCATCCCAGGGTTATCATCAGATCCCGCTGGCTCGTGAGGATTGGAAAAGGGTCAGCTTTGTAACAAGCCGCGGAACATACTGCTATGTGGTGATGCCTTTCGGTCTAAAGAATGCGGGGGCGACATATCAGAGGTTGGTGGATAAAATTTTTAAAGAGCAGTTGGGGAGGAACATGGAGGTGTATGTGGATGATATGCTGGTAAAGAGCAAAGAGAAAATCGACCATGTGAACGACTTAAAAGAAACATTCATGACCCTCCGGAAGTATGGGATGAAGTTGAATCCCGCTAAGTGCTCGTTTGGGGTCAAATCTGGAAAAATTTTGGGCTACATGGTCACGAGGAGGGGGATTGAGGTCAACCCGGAGAAAGTGAGGGCGGTGATAGAAATGCAGCCCCCCACAAAGGTGAAGGAGGTGCAGATCTTAACTGGCCGAATAGCAGGCCTGAGTCGTTTTATTTCTAAAGTAGCCGAGAAGAGCGGGCCCCTATTTAAAAAACTCAGGAAGAGCTCGAAATTCCAGTGGACAGAAGAAGCACAAAGAGCATTCGAGGAGTTGAAGGGGATGTTGGTCGATCTACCACTATTGGCAAAACCGGCGCAAGGGGAGGACTTGGTGTTATATGTGTCCATCGGTGAGACGGCAGTGAGCTCTTTGTTATTTCGGGAGGAAGGGACGGCCCAGTTTCCTATCTATTACGTGAGTAAGGTGATGCAAGAGGCAGAGAGGAGATACTCAGAGATTGAGAAAGGGGCCTTGGCGGTGGTGGTCACCGTAAGGAAGCTGAGACCATATTTCTTGGGACATAGGGTGAGGGTCCGAATGAACATGCCATTGGAAGAAACGCTGGGCCGACCCTCCGTGTCGGGGCGGTTAGTCAAATGGGCGGTCGAGCTGAGCGAATACACAATTATCTACGAACCAAGGAGAGCGATTAAGGCGCAAGCGTTGGCTGACTTTATTCAAGAAGGGACGAAGGAAAATGAGGAGTTCGAGGGAGTATGGCAAGTGTTTGCAGATGGATCGGTGTCGAGGGCTGGAGTTGGCCTAGGCATCGTACTCATGTCACCGAGAGGTGACAGCTTGGAGTTCGCAATTAAGGTGGCCTACCAGATATCAAATAATGAAGCGGAATACGAAGCGGTCATTAAAGGACTCAAACTGGCCTTAAGTGGCGG